CCTCTATACCCAGGTTCACTCCCATACCCAGATTCATTCCCCATTGGATCAATCCCAATAGCAAATCCAAACCCAGAAACTTCCTTCTCTCCACCGGAATCTCGCCGCGAATTCCTCGCCTCAGTCACATCAGAAGCCCAATTCGCTTCACTAAAAAGCTCTCCACTCGAATCTGTACCAACTGCGAAAGGAAAATCCGAGCAAGTCCCGTGAGCTCCGATCGAGCAGCATCTCAGTGTCCCACTCCGATCACTACTCCGACCAGATACCGATCTCGAATTACGACGTCGACGCTTTCTCGCTACTAAGCGGAAACTTCCTTTATTGTTGTAATTCGAAGCTGATGATAATAACTTCCCTCCTCCATTGTTGTTGTCTTCGTCGGCGAGTGAGAGACGGCTCATAGCTTCGATGGAGAAAGAAGTGGAGCGATCGGAGAAGCAAGGTCGTTTGGTGGAAGTGGTGGAGACGTAAGGTTTCTGTGATGGTTCAGATGAGTCTAGGGTTTTGGAGCGGTGAAATGGTCGCCATGAGAGTAGCTGTGAAGTGCAAGATTCAATTGAGCTTCGTGATGATTCAAGATGTTTATGAGACATTCGTTAAAGGTGACAACTTTACAGATCAAAGAGAAAGTGATTCAAAACAAACACTTTTGTGCAAATCTGAATTTTGGGGAAATGGATCGATGTTTCGTCAAGTTCTTGGAGAAGATCGAGTCGCTCTTTTGGGTTTAAGAGCTTTGATTTGCTTTTTGTAATTGAGCAACCGAAGATGTTTTCTTTTGGGTCGTAAAAGAAAATGTGTATATAAATCACATGTATATCGTAAAGGTATTTAATTCTTTTTTCTTTTATAAAAAGCAATGATCCAAGATTTTATATTTTTTTTTGTTACCACATTATATTAGATTTTATAAAAAAACACATTTATATACTTAAAGATATATAAATGCAAAACTATTATTCCTTTTACAATACAGATTTTTTAAAAATGATTAGAAAGATAACCAATAAAAAAGTGAAATCCTTTCTTTTGTTTCTGGCTAAAAAAGTTTAAAATTTTTATGATGAAGTTGACCAATGAGAAAAGAAAAAAACCATCCTTTTTTTAATCATTTCAGTTTATATAAGTTGTAAAATGATGAATAAAAAATGATAAAATTAAATTTTACAGTTACTGATTCCTTTAATACAAAAGAAAAAGAAAAAAAGACTTGTGGTCGAATGTATTTTTATACGGCAATGTATACTTTACTTGACCCCGTCTTAAGATAAAATCATTTCAGTCACGTGACTCACGTGGTACTCTCTGGTATTATTAACCTCTTGTCAATTCGAAAGCCCTAGCCAGTTTCCTCTTCTTTCACGGGAGCTTACTTTCTTCTCCCAATTCAGATCTCAATTTTCATTCAGGTGAGACTTACGCTTCTCTCAGGTGAACGGAATCGTTACCGGAATTCAATTCGTATGTATACGATTGATCAAATCTCGTTCGTTTCAATTGTTGATGTTTTTGAATTGCGTTTTTTTTTTTTGGGTAAAGGAAATATGAGCAGCCGTTCGAGTAGAACTATTTACGTCGGAAACCTTCCCGGCGATATCCGCGAGAGAGAAGTTGAGGATTTGTTCAGTAAGGTAATTGAATCATCTCTGCTAATTCTTCAATTGGATGTCTGATCAAGAAATCAGGATTGGATTTTTCTGTTTGGTGATCAATGATGTGGTTACAAAGATAATATGTGAAAGGAATTGAATAAAAACATATGTTTGCTTGTGATTGTTTTCGAGAAAGTTTTCGTAAGAATTGTTCTTCCTTGTTTCGATTTTGCAGTATGGACCTGTTGTTCAAATCGATTTGAAGATCCCACCAAGGCCTCCAGGCTATGCATTTGTCGAGGTCATCTTATTATTCAATATCTATGTTTTGGTTGGTTGTTGATTTTACATGTGGGCTCACTCTCTGTGAGCTACTGCAACGAACGACTGTGAATGATTTAATTCGTTATATGATGTATTTGCTTTAGTTTGAGGATGCTCGGGATGCTGAAGACGCAATTCACGGTCGTGATGGATATGATTTTGATGGCCATCGTTTACGGGTTTGTTAATCATCAAACTTTAACTCAAACTTTGTTATCTTTTAAGTGTTACTCTACAGGTTGCCAAATAAGTTTGATGCATGTTGGCCATTGTAGGTGGAGCTAGCGCATGGTGGGAGGCGTTCATCAAATGATGCTCGTGGTAGTTACA